ATATCGCTGTTGAAAGGATAGCTGGTTTTGTCACCATAATTTCTCCTGGGATACTTTTTTTTCATCATATTATACATGTAAATTAGGATATAGGAAACATAAGAGTCAGTGATTTTAATACACCTGCATTTCACAAGTGGAGACTCAGATTACACATTGATATGTTCTTAACAATACAGAGCTTTTAAAACTATTCTAATAATATTTTGTCTTTTTTATTTATAGAACAAGGCTACATATGCATGCATATAACTAATTACAGTGTAAGAGCTGGCTAATGTAAAGGAGACAGCTGACTGCTCTGTGCATATATTTCTTATTCCATTATTTAAACAGAAGAGGGCAATATGGTCCATGTTTTGACCAGTCATTAAATTAATGCCCTCTGTAAAACTGACAGAACAATGCAGATCTATCTACAGTAGATACTGTATGATTGCTGTTGTCTGTAATAATGTGATTGCTGTAAAACCTGTGTGGACCAATATAGCATACCTTCTAAGTCAATGTAGTAAATTTTTTTAATAGTAAATACAGTTTACTTGAGCTATTTTTTTTTTTAAATAAATACAAAAAAAAGCTTTTAAAAAAAAATAAATACCAGATCCCGGGGGAGGCTGGAGATATTGAGGCCGAGTGGACCATTTTCTCCACCTCCATTGTCGATGCGGCCGCTCGGAGCTGCGGCCGTCAGGGCTCCGGTGCCCGCTGCTGAGACATTATACACTAGTGCCCTCTAGTGGCTGCTGGGAAACTACTGTTATTTACACAAGCTCCATCCATATAAAGCCATATAGTGTTTCTATTAAAAAAGCACAGTTGATTGATATTATGCCTACCATTGCAAATACTGGGACACTGAAACATGGATAGACTGCTTCTCCGGTGATGCAGGAGTACCGGAAGAAACACCTGAATACTGGGGAAGAGTTAGCACATGTCATGCTGACTGTTATTTTGGTCCAATGGGCCAAATAGTCCCAAGGGCCATCGATTTTTATCAATTCTACAAGTAACTTATAATTGTATGTTCTGTGTGTTTGTTTTATTGTCTAACATTTAAACTTTTTATTTCCTGGTGCTGTTGTATCTGTTTGTCCACAATTGTCCACCGAGGATGCCATTACTGCTTTTCTCCATCCAGCCCTCGCCCACCTAGATTCAAAGAACTCTTGCGTGCGAATGCTGTTTCTAGACTTCAGTTCAGCATTCAGCACAATCATTCCCCAGCAGCTTACACAAAAACGTAGACACTTGGGACTCAAAACCTCTCTCTGCAACTGGGTGCTGGACTTTCTAACAGGGAGGCCACAAAATGTGTGGATCGGCATCAACATCTCCAAGACCATCACACTGAGCACAGGGGCTTCGCAGGGGTGTGTGCTCAGCCTATTGCGCTTCACACTGCTGACCCATGACTGTGTGTCAATCTGACACGACTGTAGTTGGCCTCATTACCAACAATGATGAGGCCAACTACAGGAGTGAGGTGTGCAAACTGGTCCAGTGGTGTAAGAACAACAACCTCTCCCTCAATGTGGGGAAGACTAAAAAGATCATTGTGGACTTCCTCTAAAGCATCCACCACTGACCATCAACGGTACTATAGTCGAGAGAGTGAGCAGCACCAAGTTCCTGGGGGGTGCACATCTCTGAGGACCTCTCCCGGACTAACAACACAGCATCACTGGCCAAGAAGGCTCAAACACACCTCTACTTCCTCCGCAAACTGAGGAGAGCCAGTGTCCCACTCCCCATCATGTGCTCTTTCTATCAGGGCACCATTTAGAGTGTCATCACTGGCTGCATCACTGTGTGGCACAGAGCCTGTACTGTCTCCTGCAGAAGGACTCTGCAACGCTTAGTGAAAACAGCCAGTAAGATCATCAACGCCCCTCTGCCTTCCCTTATGGACATCTTTAACACCCGCAGAGCCATCAGCATTGCTGATGACACCTCCCAGCCCGCATACTCCCACTTCAGACTCCTGCCTTCAGGAAGGAGGTATTGGGGTCTTCAGGCCCACTCCACCAGACTTATAAACAGCTTCATCCATCAGGCTGTGAGTATGCTGAACTCTATCCATTACCCCACCCCCTCTGCCCCTGGACCGTAACCCACCACAAAACATAAAAAAACTACCTCTGCTGTTTTGCACTCAACCCAGTACATTCCCCCTCCTTGTTATATTACATGTAAATCTGCTGCTGACTGTTTCTACCATCATATCTTCTGCTGTTGGTCATTTGCATCTCAATCTCACAACCATCTGACAAGCTTCTTAAGGATAAGGATACCCAGGTAGCCAAAATAGTGCGGCCCGATGATGGCCCAGATCCGGCGAACCGGATGAACTAACTCGGCCCAGATACGGTTGCCAGACTCGGGCCGCATCTGGCATGACTGACGCCCCGGAATCGGCCCAAGTACACTGGCCCAAATCCGGGTGCCGAAGCTGAACCGACACTGCCGGAATAGGGCCGCAATCGCCCCACAACCATTTGTAGATTTGGCCTATATCGGCCCAGAGGTGGATACCGAAACTCAACCGATTACCAGGCTGTGACTTCTAGATCTGGTTCATCTGTAAGGCAGCTGATAGCTTGTAGTAATGATTGGGCAATGATGGTATTCCAAACCTGTGATGTCATAAATCCTGCTCATAGACGTGCATCTTAAAGTCATGGAGAGAAAAACCCTTTGCTTTAAGCAGATGAATATGAAAAAAGCCTTCTTGTGTTAGTCTCTGAACCTATACCATTTTGCAAACTACATTTGATTAATGTTGGCTTTAGGAATTTCCCAGGATGAAATAAAAATTTCACTTGAAAATATTAAATAACTAATAAATATTAAATAAAATATGTTAACCTTACAAGAACTAGGTGTTTAGCACTGCTCGCTGATGGTTTGGCAGCCCGTTCCTACCCTTGCTTTACCCCACACCTATCCTCAAAACTAGATGTTAGTTTTTCAAATTAATAATTACATGACTCAAATACATTAAAACTTTATTCTAAATGTGCAGCAGTATTTTACATTGATGATAAAAAAAAAGATCAAAAACAGAACAGATCAATAAACAGATCCAAAAAAAGAACAACTCTCACTGCCCAAAACATCCTTGTGGACCAGTGGACCTTTAGTGTACCCTACTAAGAATTTGCTTGTTTCATGGCCCGTTCCCTTCTTCCTCCATCCCTGTCCGATGCCAGCTGCAACCACCTTTTTATGTACTTTTCAATTTCTCCATCTGGTGCGCTTGCAGTTGCAGAATTTTGCCGCACTGATTCTGCAATATTAAGAAGGAAGAAAAAGAAAAAAACACTGTCACTTGATGTACAGTAGAGTCTTGGGACTATCTGTTTTAGGGTTCAGTTTTGTATCAAGATGTTGAAACATGGACATAATACTGCCAGTTACCTCAATAGTTTGAATAATTTTAACAGGTTTTGAAAAAAGGTGTGTGCTTCAATTAAGGAGTTCAATGAAAATGACTTTTCATGTAAGAATGTGGTCATTATTTCAGAATACTCACATTTAGATTTAAATGTACACTTTACATGAGTAACTGAATATGCAAACATGTGTCCACACCTGAATCGATAGAGCTGATAGAAATCATTAACCATCAAGTTAAAAATAAATGGTCCTAATTTCTAAGGGAGACACAAAAATGGACTCAAATATACTGTAGATATTACACATTACCAAACCCATAATCATAATTGTTCCTAATACTGTATAGCAGATGTCGAAGTGTGACATTTTGATTACTTGATTGGGTAATATTAGGAAATTAAGATATTAGGAAATTTTTACATTATCGGCAGGAGTTATTAAACCTTTAATGGCTTTATTACATTAAAAACACAAAATAATTACATCATTGGCTGCTGCAAACCCTATAATACAAAAAACTTACTGAGGACAACATCTTTTAGGACAAGCTGCTCAAAACCATATTTCCCATGTACTCCACGCCAGTTGATTTGCTTGGCCAGCTGGTTCGTCATCAGTTTAGCCATTATTCGCCAAACTGTTTCCTTTATTGTTAAGCCCCCTGCCAGACCAAAGTAGGTGACCTGAAAAACACAATAAAGAATCACATTTAATTCCTTCAATTATTCTGTATTAAAACACTGGCTTATGTCACTATATGAGACAGAAGACAGTTGATGACATTTAGTGATGGCATATTTCCATGGAGAGTGACAGAAGAGGTATGATTTGTTCTTATAGATACTGTGTAGTGTCAAAAATTGTATTTCTGTCCAATATCAACACCTACCAGTTTTTGTTTGTGTTCCCCCTGTGCAGCAACGGACTGCTCAAGGTTCAGGAGTTCTTCCAGTGTTTTCAGAGGAATTCCAGTAACCTCTGGCACCTCTATAGGCTTTCGAAGATTATTTTGCAACTGTAGCAAAATAATCTGCTGTTGCTGCTTAATGGTCTCCATTGTTGTTAATATCTCCCGTAGAATTGCTGTAAAATACCAACAAAACACAGTGAGTGCCAGTAACAAATTGTGAGGTTATTTATCCAATTGGCCTTGAGGCATTTCACTTAAAACTACAATGGTCAAACTGATATACATCATATTAGGGGAAGAATCAGTTTGCACCATGGATATCTGAACAGATTGTTACAATCCAACAGCTAACTGACCATCCATACAGCTATACGTCAGTACAACCAAAACGGGACCAATAACTACTGCAAAAGACTTACGCTCACACATCAGTTGGTCGTTTACCCTGGGCACACGAGGGGTTGCTGCATTTTGGAAACTTGAAGGAGAAAGTTCTGGTCTGGAGGGAGTTGGAGGCAAAATTGCTGGCGTGATGACAGCCGGAGGAACAATGGTTGGAGCAGCTGGTAAGGCCAATTGAGCCCTGGTGTGGTTTCCTCTGGGCTGTTCACTACTGGTGACAGCTGGAGGACCAATGGTTGGAGCAGTTGGTAAGGCCAATGGAGCTCTGGTGCGTTTCCCTCGGGTTGCCTCATTGCTGCCGTCATTGTCATCTTGGTCACTCTCTGACTCAAAGATTCTGTTCATGCCTCTAATGTACAAAACAAACTGATTATATTTCAGAATATAACAAAAACACAAAAAAAAACATGAACCTTGTGCAGTAAATTGATTACATTGGTAAACTAAATTCAAGTCGTTTTCCCCTCAAAAGTCACTGATGTTTCCACTAGACTACAGTAAATACACTGTGGAACAACCCATGTACAAATTATTTCAAATCAATTTTCCAAAACCACCTGTTGCTACCACATTTTTGACCATCTTACCTTCTCTTCCGCCTCTTGTATGCTGGACGTTGATCCTCTTCATCTTCGGTTTGAAGATCTGACGTAAGCAGGGCCTTTGGGAGCAGAAGTCGCGCCTCACTAAATGTATCTTAAAAAGAGTTCTCAATTAATTTTCACATTTCTGTTCATTAAAAGTTACTAGTGTAGTTTGTTGGTGTGGCATTAAACAGATAATGAAATTATACCAAGGGATTAAGCGGTAGAAAATGAATGAATGAATGAAATTATACCTTTAGTTGCCCTTATGCGGATGTTATACTTTTCCCAGAATTCCTTGGGAGGGTCTGCTCTCGCTATGGCCCGGTTGCATTGCTCCCTTGCTTTATAGGGAGGCCAGAAGCTTCTTCCATTATGAACCCATGAGGCTGGAACAACTTCTGTGTCTCCCGTGTCCACAAAATCAACAATGTGGTACATCATCTTTGAAAGGAATAATATGAATTGCATGCAAAATCATTTAAAACATTAAGCCATAAAATTCAATTAAAAAAAAACACAAATACATATATACGTTACACATATACATACATTTAGGACTGCTGCAACAGATTATTTTTGAAAATACACTCCAACATTCTATTGCCCTGATAAACTGAGGTTATGTTATATACAGAAAAGAAAAATACAAATGTGCAAACAAAAAAAACATAAGGAAGTATGTAAAAAATCTGAATAGACACACTAAATCTTAGTACATTTTCAAAAGGTATATAGGTATAAGAAATGATTCTCAGCCCCAGTAAACAGTTGCTCACCTTGCAACACAACCCCAGTTCATTTGTTATGACAAATGGAGAAATGGCATGCCCACAAATTTGTTCCTGAATGGGAGGAGTACATACTTTGTCACTGCATCATTCATCTTGATACACTTTAGTTCCTGGGACAAGTCAGTGAGTTGGAACACACCCAACTGACCTGAATTTATTGGGTAGTCAAAAAAGCTTGCACAACTTGTAAACTCATTATAAACCAAATATGGATCTCCGCCAAACTCAATGATATTTTGGACTACACCTACTACGCCATCATGACATATGCAGTTGTCACCTGTGAATACCTTGACACAAAAGTGTGGAAGACTAACTTCTTTGTACTGCATTACTGGCCATGTGATGTGCAATGGCAGTGGACCATCACAATGTGGTTTTCTGAGTTTGGTTTCATTTTGTGTGTCTGATCTACAAACTACATTTTCAAGCTCTGATATTCGTCTCACAACTTGTGCAACTGGATACTGGGGGCTGCGGATCATTTTCTTTATTTCACCAAGGTAGTTTTCATATGGAAACCCCGAGATGTTGTCCAACCACTGGCCATGCTTTTTTACATCATCACTGAGATGTATAAGGCCATGCACATTGTACACTAAATTGTCCTTGCCATAAAGCTGTCCAAAGTGTTCCACAAAAGACACAAGCAAGGTCTTTGCAAAGTCACAAAATATCACACAGAGCTTTGGACATGCCAGTATTGATATTGCAACATAAAGCAACATAAAGTTGTTGTAAACTGGTGAGCTAAGAATGTCAAATAGCGCAACTGGCCCAGTATACAACAAAAACTGTCTATATTCAGTTGCCTTCCATCTGTGTCTCTCTTCAACAGATCTGGGCTTCCTGGCAAATTCAGTGGGCATGTGACTTTTGAAAGACCTCAGTGTTTCTGACAGCTGATTTACTTTCTTGAAAGGCAAACGGCACCTAAGTGGACCAGTACTGCCTGCCCATAGTTCTAGGAGCTTCCTTGTGACCCCAAGGCAAACAAGATGCATATAATCATGGGGAAACATAGAAACCATTCCAATGCCAGTCTCAATAAGTGGGGAAATGTCTCTGTGATGTTCCTCATCCACCTGAAGTCTGAAACTTTCATCTGTTCTGGCAGGGCTTCGGCTGTCAGGAAAAGTCATCCGGCTACCTAGACGAAGCCCATATGATGTACATTTATCACAGCCTGCATACCCAGTATGAGATTTTATGGCTTTAATGTAAGCTCGGGCAGGAGCATCACATATTATTGATGTTACTTTTATGAACAATATTTTCCCTTTAAATGTAAAGCCAGATGCTAAGATTTTTAGCTCTGCCACAAGATCTTTTAAGTAATCTCCCACAGGATGTGGCTTTGATTTGCCACCAAACAAGGCAATCAAACAAGGCTTTTGTTTTACAGAAAATCCCTGCACTAACCCCAGAACTGGCCATAACTGGAAACCTGAACTCTTGAACAATGGAAGCCCATCAAAATTTAGTTGTAGACTGACTGTGTGACGATCAGGAATTTTTACCCAAATATTGTTCAGGAAACGAGTGAGAGAACTGACAATCCCAAAGTAATAGTATGCACCTCCTGCAACTTGGTTGATTATGTAATTTCTGTTAGTATGGAGGAGTGTCTTGGCATCTTTAGGTAAAGATGGATGGTGACATCTCAACACTGACAACAGGGCAGTCAGGGCAACCAAACTGATACTATACTCTGTGGCCCAGTTCATCAAGCTAGTAGTGAGAGTTGGCTGTAGAATGTCATCATCACTATCAAGTTCATCATCATGTACTGTCTCAGCATAAGCCTCTTCTGTGCATTCACTTTCCATAAAAGTCTCTATATCATGACCACTGTGATCACCACTTTGCACTTTTTGATAACCACATCCTGCAGCTTCATCATCACAATATGAAATTTCAGCACAAGGAACTTCCACATCAAGAAGCTGATTGCTTTTGTCAGCAACGTCATCTTCAGAGGTTTGACTATTTGTGGAAAGTGATGCAAGACGTGTCTTTACTGTGACCCTGGACCTTCTCCGCAGATTTGATGATTTATTGTATTCAGAGTAGAGCTCCATCGTCAGGGCAAATGATTTGAGGTGGTGGAGTAGAATCTCAGGGCTCCGAATCTCAAGGACCCGAAAAAAAAAAAATAATAATTTAGATGAAAAATATTGTAAAGGAGACAAAACGTCTATCAATTTTTTTTAAAACAAATAACTACAATCATATAAATAGTGATGGGTACCTCGCGGAGTAATACGTACTGTGCTTCAACATAATATTAATGCGCCTCGGTTTACACGAGGCCATGGCGGAGCTACAACTTAACCCGCGCTCGCGCACACAAGCACTCAAGACTACCGGCCCCCCTCCCCACAATGCTGAGCATTATGAAGGATACCTAAGTGCAATTTGACTCATGCAGTTACAAAAAATGTACATTTTACCACAAATCGTGCAGGGCACCACTGTTGCCTCCTTCTTGTTACTATTTTCACTACTGTCACTGATTGTACATGGTTTGAATCATAGCCTATGAGGCTGTACCGTTTAGTTTTATCCTAATCACTTTGACTTAGTTTTCTTATTCTTTTCTAGTCTATTTTTACTGAAGTTTTATTTTCTTTTATTTTCCTAAATGTTATGGCATTCAATACTGGGTGAGAGAGAAATGGTATTTTGATTTTCTGTATGTCCTGCACATATAGTGAATTGACAATAAAAATCTTTGATCCTTGATCCTTGATTGCAACATGAAATAACACAATTACAGGGCAAAGAACATAACATAGAAGGTGAAACAACAGACAATAACAAAACAGACAAATGACTGTAGTTCTAAATCATATCTCCATTCTTGTTTCATTGATTGAACTCCCGGTTTGTTAACACCTGCCTCCAGTTGACATTTAGTGACGTCAAATGCCGAGTGTTGCCATAATGTTTTTCACCATCACTTTGTATGTTTAATGGTTTTTTTCAATAGAAACATGAAAGATCATGACTGTTTGTGTTTTATCAGCTTAGAAATATTGTGCTTGTTTGTATTTGTGACTTTGGTGAAGATCAGATCACATTTCATCACCAATTTATGCAGAAAACCAGGAAATTGCAAACAATGCTGTTACTTTTTCTTGCAACTGTATTAGTATCTTGTTAGTTTAAAAAATTCTAGTGGATAATAACAAAGAATTCTCTTTTGTGATAATGGTTGACATGAATTGCAGTAAAGGTCACATTAGACACAATTTAAAAAACAATCGCATTATGTTAAGAACATGAAATTTTCAGGCATACGCTTTACTGTTCCATTACCTTATTACCATGAATGCCTGCACAATACATTCATTCTCTTCTTGAAAAAGGAGACTCAACTGGATGTATTTTCTCCAAAACACTGAACTTGACCCATTAATTACTGTTCTCTGGTAACTGAAGTAATTCTCTGGACAGCATCCCCATGGACAAAACAACCTTAACAGGATAACTCTGGCATCTAATAGGCCTTTGATTGTACAGCATCCATCCTCTGAACACCATGTCTTGCTAAATCTTGAGTGTTTAATCTCCCGTAATTACAAAGATATGCTTAGGGTAATAAAAACAATCCGCCTGAATTGAGACCCCCTACTTGGACCTCCCCTGTGCCTGCTTTGCCCCTTTCTGTGAGGGATAAATTCACAGTCATATAAATAGAGTCACCTTCACAACTGTGAAGGACAACTTTTTGACTGAGGAGCAATAGGCTGTTTGACATTGAGAAGCAGGGTTTTGATTATCAGGTTTTTCAGAGAGGCAAAAAAGTTTAATCAAACTGTGTTGCTAAACAAAATACCAATATTTAGACTTGTAGACTGACATTAATTTCCATAGGTTCCACAGTGCATCAAGGTTAACAGTTGAGAGACTCATCTTTATCTGTGATCTTGTCAACAGTAAGACTTCACTGCTAGAAGCAAGGGGTATTGAGGCTCTCACATTTATGAAGGTCTTATGAAGGTCCTAACTTTAAAAGGATATAGCAGTGCTGTATAACTCAGAAATGCATTTCTGAGAAGCATTTTGTGAGAAACACTCTTCATTCAGACAGTTTGGAATTGATAAATAAAACCTCTGTAATGAGCCTGAGAAATCTTAATCCAGAAATGATAATGGAGGACAGAAGCTGTCGCACCAGTGGCAGAGAAAGGCTGGGACTGAGTTTTACTATTGACTACCTTCTGTTCAATAAAGGAGTCAGAAGTCCTAAAGAAGAACAAATGGGAAGTTGCATGGCAGAGCAGATAGTGAACACCATGCTAAATCATCAGAATCCTAAACTCAAGGAGGTGGCGATTCATTCTGAGATACAGGAGAAACAGCTACAGAGGTCAGCCATCAAAAAAAGGAAAGTAAAAGCAGAAGAGGGGAATGAAGAGCAACAAAAGGAGGGGAAGGAGGAAGTGACCACCACTACGTCCACCAGCAGCAGTCCACAGAAGTCTGCAGAGAAACCCAAGCAGTCATACATCGCACTCATCTCCAAGGCAATCCTGGCATCTGAACAGAAGAAACTGCTGCTGTGTGACATCTACCAGTGGATCATGGACCACTACCCTTACTTCAAGAGTCAGGTATGTTCATGCCCGTGTTTATCTTTCTATTTACCTGGCAGGGAGAAATCAACCTGTATGGCATGGTCAGAAAACAGATCTTCCTCTATTAGAGGAATTTAGAAAGTCAAATTGGGGGATTGTATGAGGTAAAAACAACAATAAGGGTGAATGTTGTCTCATCACAGCTACTGGTAAGATAATAATGAGACAGACAATGATAAAGCATGTTTGCTCAGAGTCTTCATTGTCCTTAATTTAGTTGCTCAAAAATAATGAGGCAACCATTTTCCTAAGTGAAGTGACCTGCTTGGCTCAGGTAATCTGTCTAAGTGGTTAGGTAATTAGGTGTTTGCAGGGACACTAGATGATCTTCTTGTTGGCAAATTCACAAATAAAGTAATCCTGTTGCTAGGATGCAAACCACCTATGCCTAAACCAGGTGCAACAACAGCCTGAATGTAGCCTAGTGGATTAAAGTTGGTCACTGGTTTGATATGCTAAAAAGGTAAATCAGGGTATTGTGTCTTACTGCGATCATATACAGTCTTGACACGGTAAAGCACTTCCTGCCAAAAGAGCAAGGTGACATCCTGAGAAGGATCAGTGATGCGTAACAGCTACTTGTGTTAACTTCCAATTGGGACATCCATTGTTTCAGCTTTCACTTACTTGCAGGCTTTACTTTTGGCCTAAATGTTTTTGTTTTTTTTCTTGCTCCAAAAGGATAAAAATTGGAGGAACAGCGTGCGCCACAACTTGTCCCTCAATGATTGCTTCATCAAAACAGGCCGCAGCGACAATGGTAAAGGCCACTTCTGGGCAATTCACCCATCAAACTATCAGGGCTTTTCTAATGGAGATTACCACTGCAGGAGGGCAAGGCGGAGGGTACGCAGGGTGGCAGGACAGCTGCCCTTTTCCTCTCTGAGCACCCTGTACCACCCTTTCCTCGCCTATCCCAGTAGAATGGCCTGCTGGTGCTGTCGTCAGGCCCCAGCATGCTCTTTACCCTGCCTGGCACCCAGACTCTACTGGCCATGGTCCAGTGTGCAGCCACAAGTGGAGCTCCACCTGGCCGAACATTAATGCCTCTGTACCCAGAGAGAGAACAATTGGTATTTTTGCAGTATTCTGTACTTACAGTTTGGACCTGAATTACTACTGGGTAAAATAGTCATTTTAGACCCTTATTTAATGATTATGTCAGTAGGTGATGCTAAAATTAATTAAAATTTGGTCAATATTGCATTATATTCATTGTTGTAAGTAAGGTCAAAGTGACTTTAGGACATTCAGTGATTAAAAAGGTACTGCATTTTCTTTATTTGTATTCTGGTTTGTGTTAGAATAACAAAAACATGTTTTGTTATAATCTTATTAAATCATATTGAGTTGAATACCCTGTGATGGTTGTTTTTTTTCAGTAGCAACAGTTGTGTTTAGTGTGTGTGCACGTGCACACTCGAGTGAGCACTTGCCTTTGCGTGTAGATTTTGCTAAAAGTGAGCCCAATGCTGAAATACCACCCGGTGTTAGATGCTAATTAGTCAAAGCTGTCAGGATGCAAAATCTTCTGCCTTAAGAGACTAAAACTGGGCTTTCCAAAGCTGACTCCCAAGGATGTGAAGCCAGATAATCTATGCAATCCCAAATAGTTTCAAGAAATAGGAGGTTTATCACACAGTGTAATCCGTAGCCGCTGCTGCAGAAAGAGGGGGACCACAGGAGGTCAGGGATGAAGGAAGCAGAGGAAAGGGAACGAGGCAGAGAGAGAGGGAGGGGAAGAGACACTGATTTATTGGCGAGAAGTGGGAGGGTTTCTTTAGGTGCTCAATACACTCCTGTTTGTTTAGATAAACAAGTCAGAATAAAAATGTACAACAGCTGAAATAATAAAATATATACTTAGATTAATGATGAACAAATTGTTACAGCCAGAATGAATATGGATGAAGTAACTTCATAGTTATATTTTCTAGGGATAATTCACATAAGACATGTCATAAAGAAACACCCTACAAACTAATTGTAACTGTCTCTAAAGCAGAAACAGTTCACTTATAAGATGACTCCAAAATATTGTCATAATAAGAATCAAGTCAATTTTTATCTGTCCAGCTCTCACATCAATAGTGAAATTCCTCTCTGACTCGCAAAGGTTGGCATTTACCTTCCCAGTGCACCAGCCTAACAGGATTAGGTCATACATTGACTTTTCTGAAGTTTGTTTTGTCTCAGCTCATGCAGGCACCTTATTTGCAAAAAACTGAATATTTGAAAGAGGCAATATTTGACATGAAATTAGATTCTGAATAGACAATATGTCAGAGGGATAAACCTTAAAAGAGAGAGACAGCGGGTGTTATTCACTACAGTTATTTTCTGGCAATGTTCATTAGAACAATGACAAATCCATTTAATTAATTTTTGCTTGCCAAATCTTCCTATTCAATGTCAGCAGCTAATTGGAGACCTAATTTGCTTAATTCCCATGAATTGCTCTCTGTATCAAATCCTCTTCAATTCACCAGCTTTAGGGCTTTAATTTGCTTGCATATGTTTGCTGTACACAAACAGGCATACAAATACATTCATGTGCAAGAGTATGTAATTCACACAATCCTAAACCTCTTTCAAAAATCAACACATTGTACAGACATAGTACACAATTACTTAAATACATTTATAAATGTGTGATGCTTTAAATATGGTGTAGTTGAGCTATTTGTTTAAATCTACTGCTGAAGCATCTGCATATCTGAATATATTTTGATTGTTTTTTTTTCAAGCAAAACAAACAATGTGACTTATGCTCACGACAATAACACAAAATGATACTTAACTAGCTTTCAAGGAGAATGAGATTAAGGTCATGAGCACTCTGTGTGTGTATGTTCTTGTACTTGCTACATAGTGAGGACCAAAGAAGTAGTTTTGCTGCAGAGTGAGGGCATTTTTGGAAAGTGAGGACTTTGGCTGGTGTTCATTTTCTGAAACACCTTTTTAGAGGTAAGACTTTGTTTTAGGGTTCAGGTTAGAACAGGGTTTAGGTTAGGTTAGGGAATTAGTTCTGATTATTAAGGTTAGGGTAAGGGGCTAGGGAATGCATTATCTCAATGAGTGTCCTCACAAAGATACAAGTGTGTGTGTGTGTTGTGTTCATATGCGCATATGTGCATGTCATTTTGTTAATCTAATGAGATGGGTGGAGGGGTGCAGGGGGTTGTAGATTAAAGCACAAAGATTTGTCCCTGATTAGCAGAGAGTGAGGTAAGAAGATCAGTCCTGCTGAGACAGTGATGAGACATTATGGCCGTGTTTTAATACAGTACATTTCCACAAGTGATACCCTTTAGCTTACATGTATCTCAGTGAGTTGACTACGAACAGTTTACACAAAACAAGATGAGGCCTGAAACAGATCAAAGAGATGCACAGGGAAACAGGTTGCTTTGGTTTGCATCTTAGATTTCATTAGCAGTATTGTGGAAATTATTTAAATCAACACAACTTTTAATGGCATTGAATAACTTACTGTAATCACTTATAGTATCCCTGCTTTTGTCTTCTTTGCTCTTAAATTCATATGGCATTCACTCAGTTGCACTGCCTAGCTACAATAGTTGCACATACATAAATTAGAGTAAGGAATTAAGATAAAGCCCTTTATTGTTTTTGTTGTTGTTTAAAGTGATACTATGTAACTTCTGAAAGAACAAATTACATATTCTTTTATTTACAAATAAAAAAGTTTAATTAATTTCCAATAATACACTCATGTATTTTACTGCTGCTTGCTGTGGTATGAACAGAATCAAAGTGGCTAACTAGATGTTGTGTCAAAATAATGAGCTACTTTGCTAAGCTTAAGACTTTTCCTCTGCTGTGCTGCTTTTGAGCTACGTTTTAGTATGTCACAGCCATTGTTTTAATGATTTTATCACAATAGTAAAACAAAATCTAACAGTATCAGGTGATATTTGTTGTTTCCTGTTTCCACTGGCTTTCAGTCACTTAGGTCAATTAATGATGTCTATCTAACACAATATTAGAAATTTTACATGTCATTATGGTGCAGTGTCCACTTGTTGCTGCTGTTCAGCAAAAGCTTAATTAAGAGCCTTATTTCACAATAGAATCAATCTACCTGAATGCTTGAAGAAATACATTTAAAATATGAGTAATGATGCAGGCACATTTATGAAAATAATGTTTGCATGTCTCCATGCAAACATTAATTGATGTGGTCTTTGACTGATTGCTAGACCACAAATTAGAGCGCCAAGCCTGGTTATAGCAAATCATCACTGAATATTGCTAGTCTAGTTTTTAGTTGCATTCTTGAAAATATTCAGCTGTTTTTACTCAGAACTAGTGATATAAAAAGTCCAAATATTCAGGAAAAATCCCGGTGTGATTTGTAGTTTATGGTCACCATCTGTTTCCATCATTTTAATTCAATTTCAGTGTGCTTCTAAGATGTAAAAAAAAAAAAAAAAAAAAAAAAAAAAAAAAAAAAAAAGCAATAATTAAAATAATTTTATGCAACATAGACCCAGAGGCCAAAGAACAGTAATCTATCAAAGTATTTATAAATAAAATAAACTTGGTGTAGTAGACTGTTTATTTAACAGACAACACTGTAATATTTAGAATTGCATATTTACAGTTGGTTTGACTTAACTCATCTGCTTTTTTCTCAGAAATGTATTGGTCTATGTCGTTTGGTGCCACTGCAGTTGAATGTAGGCTGTGAATAACTCTCAATGGGCCTAAGGCCCAGAGGAGTCAAAATTGCAAGTCTATTAAAAAGCATGATTGCATAGAAGTAAGTAGTATTTAAAGCTATAGTTGAACCAAAACCATCTGCTATTTTCTGGTTGTGTCCCACCGTGAACAATAGCTTGGCGTTACCTCTGCTTCAAAAGCCCCATAATAGCCAATCGATCAGAATGCGAGGCGCTATTCTGCAGATTACTGTTAACAATAATTTGCCTCCCAGTGCACCGTTGCCATCTTTGAAGCAATGTTTTATTGCCTTTTTTTTCATCTGCATCTGTCATCCCCGAGGTCCACTGTTTGATCTCTCCCCACCAGTTTCTGCCTCCCGGGGTCGCGTTGACCTGTTGATTGGCAGCTGCGATCAGACATATGGTAGGACGAGGCATCGACCGGAGCTCCCCGGAGACAAAAGCAGATAGTGGGGCTTTCACCGCGCCACCCCGAGCAGCAGCACCGAGCAAGAGGTCTGCATCCGACCACTAGATGACGCAAGGTGCAAAGGAATATTTCCAACAGCGGTTTGACCATTTAACGAGCGCATTTGGCGCATTTGTTTTGTTCATACAACCTACCGCTTTGTTGCTGTTAAAACTAAGATCTGCGCCATATTGTGAATTTACTCTTCTTTCACTCTGTTATTATTCTTGAAGATAGGCTAAAGACTATCCAGACTATCTTGCCTTCACATCCACATTGACTCCCCTAATGGAGCAAAATGGCAGTGTTGTGCAGCCATCTTAGCAGATAAAATATAGCCTCCTGTGTAGCAGGACAAATAATTGATGTGGATGCAGAATGCGTTTGTTCAGTGTTCATGTCAGGCTTCCTTGGATTTTTCCCAGCTACTTCACTGGAAACCAAATAGGGCCAGCTTACCTCCCAGTAAAAACCCCACACAGCATGTGTGTTTCTGAATGCAAAACACCCCCATTTCTCCTTCTAGAGTCAGTAGAGTGTTGCCATGGTGATGCATCCCTGGCCAGGGTCTTGCAGTGATCCCCAGTGATCCTGGTTTTTGACCTCTGACATTTAGGCCATGGCCAGGGTCAAAAGGTCAGTGATGGCCAGAGGGCAACAAGAGCACTTCCAGGGCTGGCACTCTTGACACCCTTGCCTCCCCCTTCATCTACAGCAGCTCACCTCTCATTTGCATTTGTTACTGAGTGAAGGTTTATCCTGATGTTTTACTCTGAATTTTTGCAGGTTGCCTTTTTTTGTGCTTAGGGCAATACAGGGCTCAGAACTGTAAAATTTACATTCAGTGCTGCTACTCATTTTAGGTTTGTCCACCTTAGATAAGTGTA